ATAACTCATGACAGTTTTTGTCCTATTCCCAGTGGAGAGAGAGAGAGAGAAGTTTACAACTTTATGCAACAACAATTAAAGCACTTTTATATGTTTTAAGACTTGCCTCTCTAGCCAGCTTTTCTTTCACAGAATCACAGAAACACCAAGGTTGGAAAAGACCTACAAGATCATCCAGTCCAACCATCCACTACCAACAGTTCCCACTAAACCATGTCCCTCAACACAAAATCCAAACGTTCCTTGAACACCTCCAGGGTCAGTGACTCCACCACCTCCCCAGGCAGCCCATTCTACTGCCTGACCACTCTTTCAGAGAAGTAGTATTTCCTAATGGCCAGCCTAAATCTCCCCTGGTGCAGCTTGAAGCCATTTCCTCTAGTCCTATCACCAGTTACATAAGAGAAGAGGACTACCCCCAGCTCACTACTACCACCCTGCAGCTTGAGCAGTAATGTCTCTCCTGAGCTTCCTCTTCTCCAGACTAAACAATCTCAGCTCCTTCAGCCACTCCTCATAAGACCTGTGCTCCAGATGCCTCGCCAGCTTTGTTGCCTTTCTTTGAACCTGCTCCAGGGCCTCAGTGTCTTTCTTGTAGTGAGGGGCACAAAACTGGACTCAGTACTCGAGGTGCGGCCTCACCAGTGTTGAGTACAGGGGGACAATCACTTCCCTGTTCCTGCTGGCAACACTGTTTCTAATGCAGGCCAGGATGCCATTGGCCTTCTTGGCTACCTGGACACACTGCTGTCTCACATTCAGCCGAGCATCAATCAATACCCCCCAGGTCCCTTTCCTCTATACAGTCTTCCAGCCACTCCCCCCAGTTCTGTAGCATTGCCTGGGGTTATTGTGGCCAAAGTGCAGGACCCAGCATTTGACCTTGTTGAACCTCATCCTATTGGCTTCAACCCAGCTATCCAGCCTGTCCAGATCCCTCTGTAGGGCCTCGCTACCCCCAGACAGATCGACACTTTCAGCCAACTTGGTATCATCTGACACCAACATCTGAGGGTGCACTCAGTGCCCTCATCCAGGTCATCAATAAAGATATTGAAGACAGGCCCCAGCACCGACCCCTGAGGAACACCACTTGTGACCAGTCGCCAGCTGGATTTAGCTCCATTCACTATCACTCTCTGGGCCCGGCCCTCCAGCCAGTTCCTAATCCAGCCAAGAGTGTATCTGTCCAAGCCATGACTGCCAGATTCTGCAGGGGAATACTGCAGGAGACAGTGTCAAAGGCTTTGCTGAAGTCTAGGTAGACTACATCAACAGCCTTTCCCTCGTCTAGCAGATGGGTCACCAGATCACAGAAGGAGATCAGGTTGGTCAAGCAGGACCTGCCCTTCGTGAACCCATGCTGGCTAGGCCTGATCCCCCGGTTGTCCCGCACATGCCACGTGATCTTCTTCAAGACAATCCGCTTCACAACCTTCCCTGGCACCAAGGTCAGTCTAACAGGCCTGTAGTTCCCTGGATCCTCCTTACAACCCTTCTTGTAGATGGAAGTCACATTGGTAAGCCTCCGGTCTTCTGGGACCTCACCTGTTGACAAGGAGCACTGATAGATAATGACGAGACTGAACAAAATCCCTTCTTCCATGCTTTCATTTTCTTATACCTCTGATCACTATTCATAACCTTCTCACTCTCCTATGAATATTCTCAAATTAGGCCACATCTTCCCCAAAATTCAGTGCCCAAAATGGAGCAAAGGGACCCCACCAGGGCCAAACAGTGCAGAACCATTACTTCCCTTGCTTTATTGTATCTAGCATTAGTTATGCTGTGGCCTACCATCACATTTGGATTCTCTTCTGCATGACTACTGCCAAGTTTCCATGGTGCAGTTATAAAGTTGACCATTTTGAAATATTCTGCACTGATTCCTATCAAGCTGCATGCCATTTTTTCCAGGTAATATTTTAATTTTGAATCTAATTCTTATCCTTTGAAATTATTGCCACCTTTCCAGGTACAATTTTTTTATTTATTTATTTTTTTAATTTTTCAGACATTAATGATAATAATATGTAGTAACTGAATCTAAGATGACTCCTCATTCAGAACTCTATATAAAAAGGCTAAGATCAGGAATAACTCTATTTAAAACATACTTGATACAAAACTTCCTTAATTCAGAAGTAATATTCCACTATCTTTGTGTCTGCTGTGCTAGGCTCATATTCTTTTGGATTTACCTGGCAACCAAATGACAGATGAACTACCAGCACTTGCTTACAACCCTACAAATTTACGATCATGGAGAAGCTATTAACTTCTACATTATCTGGGGGGAAAAAAAAAAAAAAAAAAAAGAAAGGAAAAAAAAGAGGTGGAAAGAGGGAGAAAAAGAACACATGCATGGATTAAATGAGCCTCAGATTACAGCATTTCCAAGGGGTTATCTTAAAAGTACACTTTGGGTGGGGGGGGGAGGGGGAGGAGGTTCTGATAAAGATACTTATGTTTCTAAGAGATAGCACACATGAAAAATGACAGTCAGATAAACAAATAGAAAGACTCATCCACCAAACTTGTGGATGAGGGAAAGCAAGCTTATTAGACAAACTAAATAAAGATGATTTTTTTAAGTTAAATTGCAGAAGGAGATGCTTGGCATATCTGAGGGAAGAAGTCAGCTGCTTATCGTTGCATAGTGAATTTAATTTCCATGCACTGACAGTCATGTGTTTCTCAAACTGTTAGCAAAAAAAAAAGAATACCACCACCTAGTATATAAAAAGTTGCAATGAGACACTGTGTCCAGTTAAATCTTTCAACTAGCAGCTAGTTTTAACAATTTCAGCCCCAGCTACACATTTCTTTTACATAGAGCTTTCTTCTTCCCTTGTGTCATTCTACAAATAGGTCTTTTCTGCTTGTTACATTGTCTCCTGAGTATCCACTTCCTCTTTTCATTTCTCTTAAATCCATTTCCTTATGCCTGTCCCTTCTTACAGCGCTCCTGCCCTAGAACATTAGCGTTTCTTTTTCTCTCCCTCTCTAAAGTGAGACTGTTGACTTCCATGCAGGCAGAGCAAAAGCCTACAGGCCAAAAGATCCCATCTAATTTGCTGACCTCAACTTTTTTTTTTTTTTTTTACAGTGCCCAAAATGGCCAAATGCACCCAGAACATTGGAATTTCATAAACAAAACAACTAATACAGTGCTATTCAAAACCACAGTTAGGAACAAAATTAGTTACTATTAAACATGAAATCACTAATACAAGATTTAATGAGGTTAGGATCCCAAGAACTTCTAAACATGCTTCCAAAAGGCTTGCTGAAGCTTGTCTACACTGAAGTTCACTCCAAAATCCTAACAGGAAAACTATCTGTAACGTAAACCCTGTTTAAGCAGCTTGAAATGTTTACTGAAACAGTAATCATTAGCCTTTCAGACTTGCTTCTGGGAGATATGTCCAAAAAAAAAAAAAAAAAAGTGGGACACATACTCAAGAAAAGCATTCCAGACAATACAGATGAGAACGGCACTAATTTGGATGCAGGCTAGTATTTAAATGCAATCAGTAGAGCCAGTACCAACACACTGTACTTTATTAAAGCAGCTCCAATGAGGTTTAAGCTGTTAACAAGTCAATTAGCTGAGACAGATTCCTCAATGTTGAGAATATACATATTACTTAAAACTGAACAACAGAAAAAAACTGCTTGCACTCTTCCTTTTCACACACTCCAATATCCATCCCCTGTTAACTCTCTTAGCTGCTACAAGCGCAGATGGGAGTATCTAACATCTCATCCTTACCTCAGCACACTGACTATTTTGGGGGAGGACAGACCCACATGCCATCTATTCTAAGGCTTTATCTACATTTGGAAGTCTTTTGAAGCAACACTTCCACAAAATCTTCAGATTAGAGGCAGCTTATACCCCTCCTTTATCTTCCTTCTGAGCACCCCTTCTCATTGTTTTTGCCATTTCTCAGCATTTCACAATGAAGTGTGACTCTAAAAAGTAGTGTTTTGAGTGTAACATCAACAAGGCCTGTACTTACAACCACAAAATTTAAGAGCATCCATAAATCTTTTGCCTTTTAACTTTTTATTCTTGAATGATGAACAAAGCACCTGCCTGTTTTTGCTATGTCACACAAAGCATTCTAGATCTTGTGGTCACAGATAAGGCAAAACTTCATCAAAAGCAGTTACTGTAATTAGGACCTTTCTCAGGGCACCACTGCAAAGTCAGGCTTAAGGTAGTCTGCTCTTAATTACCCTAAATACATGCACTGCTAACACAAGTAACTTGAATGAGGAGAGGAGGAGAGAATGCTTAACTCCCCCTCTCCTTTTATTATTATTATTTTTTTTTAAGAACGCTTTCTTACTACTTAGTCATCGTATGAGTTTAGAAGGGTACCACCTCCTGTATACTGAGGGAAATGTCCACAATATGAATCTTTAAAGAAGTTGAGAAATCGAGAACCGGACATGGTTTGAAAGTCTTCTTTTTATCACTTCTTTACACACCCACCTGATGGGAAAAACACCTCCGTTATCTTGCTGCCCCTATTTTGACTAAGGCACTTGGACAAAACTAATTCTTGAAGTCCCTTCCAGCTCTCCACTTTGTTTGCTTCTGCCTAAAGAATGGATGTCAACATAGCTAAGTGCATCAGTGATATATGACAAGACTTGAAGTGCCTCCCAAGGCCTTCTTGAGCAAGAGTTAAAAACTCTGATGGCTTTTCTATCACTTATTACGTAAAATAAAAAGGAATAAGATATGTGCTTTTCATAGCACTTTAGAACAAGAAATGCATAGCCTGCTGCTGGAAAAGGACCAGTACAAACCAGCATGCCAGATCTAGCACATCTGAGAGCTTTAGACAAATCAATGCTTCCCCAACACAAAAGCACACATACATACATTCACATGACAAGTGGATGCATGCTTTAAAAGTTGTGAACGCACATGGATAGAAGATTCCCTGAGTAATGCTTATTCCAGAAGTCACCGGACTTACACTTCAAAGTTTTTTCAGTTAAAAAAGTTAAATTGAGGAAGGTCTTAGCACATCAGACGGACTCCACGGGGAGTTTAAAAAAAAAAAAAAAAAAAAAAGCGTTGGTGCTTTTATTTCATCCTTGCCGATGCTAACTCTCCACTAATCCCGACGTTACTCCCGCAGCCATCCCCGCTACCTTTGTGTGTCGGATGCCGCCCTGCCCAGCAGACACAGACGAGGCAGCGCACAGCCTACAGCCGTGCCTTTACCCACTCGCCCAGCCGTGCCGCCGCTCACAGCCCACCCTCGGGAGTCTGAGCAGCACTGCTCCCGAGGCCGTCACCCAGAGGGAGAGACCGCTCCCAACAAAGCTGCCGAGGCCTCGCGCCCAGGAGCCGGGCGACCCCCCGACTCGTCCTCCCGCCCGGCAGCGAGCCTAGGCCGCGGGAGGGCGGGCAGGCCCCGGGCACGGCGGGGCGGGGGGGGAGGGGGCTTCCTCCGCCCCCTTCCCCTGAGGGCGACGGGCTCCCCCGCGGCCTGCAACGGACGCCGCGCCGGCAGCGGCCTCAGCCGGGCCGGCGGCCCCGAGGGGCTGCGCCCCGGTCCAGACCGGGTCCCCCACGGGAGCACCGCCGCCCCTCGAGGCCGGGATAGGCCCTCGATTCCCCGGCCTGTCGCTGCGAGCCGCCCGAGGAGAGCGCGGCCTGCAGCGCCCGGCCAGGCCCCGGCCTGAAGTTGCCCGCTTTCCGCCGTCAGCCCCGCGGGCCCGAAGGCGGAGAAGGAGGAAGAAGCACCTGCGCCGAGCGCTGCCAGGGTGGGGGGAGGCGGGCGGGCGGCCGCCGAGCCCTGCAGCCCCTCCCCGGCGGGGAACGGGGTGCGAAGCCCCGCAGCCTTCCCCCCCTCCGTGCCGCAGCTGATGCCGAGCCCTCGCCGCCCTCACCTGCCAGCATCCCGCCTCCCGCAGCCCCGCGGGCGGCGGCGCAGCTCCGACCCCCTCCCCAAAAAGAAAACGTCGCCACGAAATAATCCCCCTGCCCGCAGCACCCTGAACGGGAGGAAGGGGGCAGGAGGAACAAAACAAACGCTCCTCTCCTTCCCCAAAAGATGGGGAGGGTTGGGGGTGCGGGGTGCCAGTCCCCACGCCCCGCTGTCCCCCTCCCCGCACTCCCCGGCCACCACTGCTGGCCCCGCTCCTGGCAGGCACTGACCAACGTCACTAAGCTCCCCCCGCACTTTTGTGCCCCCTCCCCAAATATATTTTATATCTATATATATGTTAATATATAAAAGGGGGTAAACCCAAAGAATCCAGCAAATAAAAGGGCACCCCTCAGCCTTCCCCCCTCCCTCCCCCCCCAGCAGCGTCTTGGAAACACTCGCGTCAAAACTTTGTCCAGGGCTGCCCCCCTCATCCCCCTCCCCAGCTATAACTGCAGAATTTAAAACCTGTCAACCATTTTAGGTCCCCACACGGGATGCACAGTTCCGGGCCGGCTCCGGGCACGGCTGCGGGCGCCGCGACCCCCCCCCCCCTCCGAGCCGAGGGGAGCGGCCGGGCAGGAGGATGCTTCGCGGGGAGGGGGCGGTGGGAAGGGGGCGAGGGCCGGGGAGCGCCCGCTTTACCTGAGACCAGCCACTGGCCTCCATTGTTGGAGAATTCAATGGCATTGACACAGCCGAAGTGGCCCAGGAGGTCCTTCTTGTAGAGGTTCCTGCAGCCCCGCAGGCGTCGCCGCTGGAAGTCGTGGGTGAGCAGGGGGTCCCCCTCCAAGCCCCGCTGGGACAGGAACCCCACCACGGAGCGCATGCTGCCCCCCCGGCCGCGCCTCTTCATGCTGCCGCCGCGCCGCTCCTTCCCCGCCGCCCCTTCCCCCGCCGCCGCCGCCGCCGCCTCCCCTCCCCCGCTTCCCCCCTTGTTATGGTTATGATGATTTTTCTTTAGCCAGCCATGGCAGAGAGGTGTTAGACACTCCGCCGCTTCCTGATCCCGCTGGCTCCTCCCCGCTCCCCTCAGCAGCTGATCCTCAGCTGCAGCCCGCGCCTCCCCGCCGCCGGCCCGGCTCTAACGTCGCGCCGCCGTTTTTAACTCCGTAGCGGCGCGGGGGGGCGCCGAGAAACTCGCGGCTCTCGGGATCCGCGGCCGCTCTCCGTGCGAGGCTCCCCGCCGCCGACGGGCAGGTGCCACCGCGGGCGGGCGCGGCTCCGAGTCGCTCATCGCGGCGCTCCCCTCTCCTCGTTTCAAGTCCTACTTCCCACCACGTCCCTTCTGGAAGCCGGCCTGGCCGGAGGAGGCGATGAGCTGTCCGTCCGTCCGTCCGTCCCCTGCCGGCCCGAGAGGGAAACTGAGGCACGGCCGAGTAGGAGCTGGAGGGGCGTGAGGGTAAGATGCCCACCTGTGTGCTCCTGGAACTGGGCTTTATCCTCCCCTAACCTTGAACAGCTTCTGTGAGATTTCTAGCAGTGCGTCTGCAGGAACTTGTTGATTTTAAGTTTCTGTGGGGCAATGTGAGATGTGGCTGCTTGCCCTCTCTGCCCTCCCCTCACTTAAATGGTGCTGAGAGGGGGGTGCCCCTTGTGCTCTCGGGACTCTGCTCCAGAGGAAGTGAGGGTGAATCTCGTTCTACTTAGCAGCAGAAGAACCCTGAAAGACAGACAGTTAAACAGGTGGAACTGAGCTGTGTTGTACTTCATGGGTTCATGAGGAAAAACCATGTTCTTTCTTCTTCTTCACAGGACTGCATCTTCCATGTTTAACTCCCGATACTGTGTGAAGAACCTTTCATTTGTGATACAGTATAATAAAATCTCCAGAGGTTTTCCTTCATGTGCTGAATCTAGTCTCTAGGAAGGCTGTGTACTTGCATGGTCAGATGTAAATAAATTAAATTACTTCCTAAAACTCCATTGCCAGGATTTTCAGGAAAGATTTCACTGAGGCTTTTTAGTCACAAGGAGTTAGAAAGAAGTTAACATGTTGTCAGAATTTGAAAGAAAACCAATAGCAGACTGCCTGCCTTTTTTGTTAAATACAATATTGTTTCAAGACCATATAGATTAAAACTGGTGTTTCTTCTGCATTGCATTCTGATTCCCTTGCTTAATTTAATTTTGAAAATATTGAACACTTAAAATCATTGTGACCTGTACCGTGGTAGTTTTTTCTCTGAAAATAACATGTTGCTGTGTTAGTGCCTGAATGCTGTAATCTCATCAGAACGTTTGCACAATAGGTCTGAATCATGCTGGAGTGGCATCAATGAAGTGCCTTTTTCTAGTTCAGTGAGAAACTTCTGCAGCTTGGAATGGAACAGAGGTATGGACAGTACTTTTTAAAACCAACTCAACTTCCACAAATTACTATTTTGTGGGACATATTTTCATGTAGGGAGCTGTACTGGGACTGTCTGAATACTGTGGGCTGAACTGGCCTAGGTTAGGCCAGGCTGCAGTTTGGCAGGATAGTTCAGGGTCTGTTTGTACTGACTGCTTAAGCAGCTGAATTTTGTAGGATGTTTGTAGTATCCTCCATGCCTCAAAAGCAGCATGAAATAAAGCACAAAAATGTTTTGATTGTAACTTTAGCAAGTGGACAATACAAAGGAGAAGCCAACTGAAAAGGAAGTGGGAGATGATGAAAGGGAGTGACTTTCTGTGGAGGCTCTTGGAAATGTAGATGAGTAAACAGTGTTTGATGCAATACAGAACAAGGAACTATCAGAATGTTTCCAACAGAGAAGTGATGTGGTCAGAGTAATTATCTACATAAATAATCTTAGGCTGCGGTTTCAAGGTTGCTAATTCTAGGCCTGTGTACAACCAGATCTCCCAGCACTGCTAAAATAGTCCAGACCAGGTATGGCCGTGCTGTCACATTGTTCTCACATCAGTTTGTGCCCATTCTACAGAGTTTTTCCTCTGACTCTGCAGGGACTGACTATACCTGATGTTGTTTGAATGTCTGCTGGTGCAAAATTATCCCATCAACATTTCTACTGATGAAATTTAAATTGGCAGAATGAGTTAAAATTACATTAGTGGTTTCCATTTGATGACTGTGGTGTATTTGATCGTTAATGGGAAGACTATAGTCAGCTTTACTGTATTGTCAAAATGGCATTTACAGCTGTTAAAGGCTGTTGTGTTATGAGCTGTGCTGGTTAATGCTGGAGGGAAAGGTGTTTGGAGCAATTCAGTTATGGAAGAAAAAGACCTAAACAAAAGTCTTAGTTGTGTGGATAGATCAAAAGACCTTGTCTTACAGGTGCCTTGTAGCACAAGTCTAAATTTAGGCGTAGCCTGGATGCTAGAATCTACACAGGTCTCAGCCAGAGCTAAAAATTGACACAGAAGCTTGAAATGGATGGTAGGCTGGTGGTGTTATCCACAGATAACACAAAGAAAGAGGACAAAGAAGAGGACATCCAGGTAAGAGAAAGAACCAAGTTCTACTTTTGTTGAGCTATAGCTTCCTGCTAGTCATCCACAGAGAGAGAAAATGGTTACGATTTGAGTTTGGATAGATTGCTCTGGGGAAAGGAGCAGATCTGTAAATCATCTGCATAGAGATGGTACTTGTATTTCAGATGCAATAACTCTGGAAAAAAAAGCGTGGGAGGATAAAAGCAAAAGACCAAGCCCTGTGATGCAGCATGAGGAGAATCTGTCTAAGAACACTTGGAAAGGAAGGCTAAATAGGTAAAATGAAATTTAAAGTGAAGCATGCTTAATTGTGTCAGGTCAAAGACGGTGAGGCTCAAGTACATTCTTTTCTGAGCTCTGTTGAGCCTCTGAATGGCTTTGGTTAATCCACAGTGGAAATGGAGAAGTTTGGTGTCTGTGGAATCAGTCTACAAATGCGCCAGAGAGACAGGTAGAGGGGGAGATGGGGCGGGGTAAAGGCTTTTACTTATTGAAAACAGGGTTGGGTTTTTAAAATTTTTTTTTTTTTTTGATGGTGGGAGGTATGGAGAGATAGAAGGAAAAGGAGAGCGAGCCAAGAAGATGATGTTATATTTTAGCCATAACATTAAAAATAAAATAAAATAAAATAAAAGATTATTGAGTTTATTCCCTCTAGCAGAAACTAGGTAGCTTCTGGGTTTTTTGTCTTTTGCTTATTCATTCATTTCACAGCTGAAAGGTGGGAAGAACAAGCACCTTTTCCCAGTCGCACCTTTTCCCAGTCACTCCTTGGGGCTGTTCAGCTTAAGATGTAGCTTTAACTTGCAGCTGAGTCTATTCAATGACTTGTAGCTTCTGTAAGGAGGATTTACTTTTCTTGGCTTTGTGTTCTGTCACTTTCTTTGTACTGGTGCTGCTACACATTGGACCTGTTTGTCTGCCACTTTGCAGAGTTCATTTGGCTCACAGAAGTGTCCTGATGAGTGCCAAAATCAGCGCAGGCCAGTCAGGAGTGCATAGCTGGGAGCAAAGTTCTGGGATATATAGGGAATGTCACTTTCTCAGCAACCATGAGCTGAGGCCAACTTACTTTATCTTCTGGAACTCGGCCATTGAGGTAAGTTGATCAGCTCTTCAAGAAACGAAATTGTGAAATTCCTCTCTATTCCTACAGTGAAAGAGTAGGCAATTAATGAAGAAACATGTTGATGATGATTCATGTTAATACAACTCATCCTCATGGGATCAATCTGGCAGCTCACACCTCTGAGAGCAGATCAGATTCTTTGCAAAACATGCAAACTCTGGCAGATTCCTGCACTGACTGAGTTGCAGCTGATTCATCCTTTGGCTTAGGATATAGTTTCACTGAGATCTGGCTCTATGGTGAGCAGTCCAGGGAGTTAAACCACAAGAAAACTCTATTTTTTGCTACTAGCTTTCTGTTCACTAAATTCCTTGAATCAAACTGGCACCCATGTTTGTAGAAGTGAAGCAGCAGAAGGAAGACTACAGGCAGAAGAAGGAAGCAGAATTGTTTTTTCAACCAGGTGCTAAACCTTCCATCCACCTTGCAGCACTGTGAAACTGAGCCTTTAGGATGTGGCTTGACAGTTGATTTTCAACTTTTGACAAAAGAATTGGTCCTACTATTTCCCTGATATCAGCCTTATTAAAACAAATCCTGCTCAGAATTACTTATTTGAATATATAGTCATGGGGTTACTAGCATCCACACGAGGAAGATAAATGACATTAGCAGTTGAAATGTGAGTTGGCTTTCTTATGTAGCTTGGGATGGGGCCCCAAATGGAGTGTTATTAATGAGCTAGTGAGGACTACATGCAGCTCTCTGCTCATTGTCTGCTAACAGCAATTTAAGTCTTGACTGGAGCCTCTTTCCTTTGATATTCCACTATCATTGATTTTCCTTTGAACACTGAGTCATTTACTCTACTCTTCCCCCTGTTAAAGGATGAGCTAATGGGATTATAAATATATATATATATATATTTTTTTCTGTGATCAGCAGAACAAGTGAAGTCTGCTTTCCTATGGACTTGTCCTGATGTGGCACTGCTGTGTGGATTCTCTGATGTATATTAAGCAGTGTCTGCACATGCTTGCCATTTTATCGGTGGCAATTTTATTACGGTCTATTTCATTGACTCGGCTTTGCATTTCACAGCAGTCACCTTTGAAAGCTCTATCTCTTTGTACAAATTTAGATGGAATTGGCAATGGCTTAGACATGTTTTTTTGGCAAGGAAAGGGAGAAAGAAAGGGGATCCACAGGCAAAAGCGCCAACAGACTTCCTTAGGAAATCAGGCTAAAAATGAATCTTCTGACTGCGGTCTCTGTAAAGATCTCAGATCAGGTATCAGAGAGAGAAGGAAAAAGTAAGTCTAGCTGTTTACCATGTAAAAGCCTCAGTTAGCAAATACAACAGATTTCCCATAGGTAAGGTTATGCCAGTAGTTGGTGTCTACTCACTTGGTTACTTTTCCACTTGGTTACTTTTTACTCACTTGGTTCTTTTCTTCTGCAGTGTCCCCATCAGGCTTTGGGAACTTTTTTTTTTTTCTCTGCCAGAGCACACTCATGCATCTGTTACTTTCATTTATTTTTACTTTAACGTTCATACTTGAATTCATCAAGTATGTAGGTAGTAAGACAAGCTGTTAAAGAGACTTGTGGTTTACAGGACTCTGCTGATGTCAGTGATACCATGAAGAACAGAGGTTTTAGATGCAGCCAAGAATACAACTCCATTATTGTTCAAAAGTTATGCTTGGGTATTACATCGTATCTTCTCTGCAAGACTTTCATTATGTGATAAATGCTAGGGCATTTTATTTCCCCCCTCCTTTATGATTTTACACAAAATTCCTATCACCTTAGAAACTAAAACAAACACTTTCTAAAAGGAAAGACTGGTCTATTTCAGATTTCTAGGTGGATGTCAGTTTATTTGTAACAGCACACTTCTAATAAACTTTGCAGGATTGTTCAGATTTTGTAAGTTCTTGACGGCGTTTTTACAGATACTCTTCACCCCCTAACAGGGCAGCTGGGTTCTGTAGTCTTTACAGAGGGGTTCTGGGTCTTCTTCCTGTCCCTGGCTCTTGATTACATGGTCTCTGAAATACGTGTATAGTTACTCCAGATGTTAGCTTTTTTCAGCCCCAGCTCAGTTCCCTGAATCTGTGCTCCTGTTATTAAGGAATGCTGGTGCTGCAGCAAGGGAGCAGGAAGTGGTCAGTCAGGCTTAACAGGAATTGTGCGAATATCCTAGAGGTGCTCCAGGTCTGTGCTAGGTGATGATGACCCTGTAAAACAAAGCAGTACATGCTTTGAAGAAGGCAGGAAAATGAAGCGAGGGGGGAGGGAGAGAAGACAAAAGAACATCCCCATCTAACTGTGGGAACTCTCTGTTACAGGCAGTCCCCTTCTAACTCTGGGAACTCTCCATGACAGGCAGACTACTCCAGCTTGTCCTCTTGTCTGTACACTGAATCATGCGATGAGTCTCAGAGTAGCAGGATCCTGCCCTGTGACCCGCATTTCAGCTCCCAGCTGTGTCTGCTACACTGTTTGGCAGGGGGTGGGTGGAAAAGCCACAGCTCATGTATGGCCGTGAGAGAGAAGCCCCTCTTTCTTGTGAGGGTGAGTGAGCCAGGTGGGAGTCACTGCAGGCTGGCAGATTGCACTGTTCTCTAGGCCCTGGTGAATAAATGTAAATATGAAGACAATTTTTTTCCCTGTAGAGCAAGACTGTGGGGCTTTGCAGAAAGATAGCACGGAGGAGCTGTTACTTTCAGGTAAAAGGATTTGCGTGCACAAACCAGGCAATGTGACAGAAAACAAACTTCCTGAGGTGATCCCATCAGCTGTGGGCTGATACCAGCTCACTCACTGTGCTTGGGCCTGCTTCCCAGAGCAAGCAGCAGCTTGGCTGTGACTGATGTCCCCCAGACTGAACACTGCTCCGTCTGCGCTTCCCCTGGGACAGCCCCTGTGCTGCAGCGCTCTGCTAAACGCCAGCTGCTAGGGAGCTCTGCAACAGGCAAAGAGTAAAACAGAATGGAGTTTGCCAGAGTCGGAGCCATTGGAAGCAGTATTTCCTGTGGCTTTGGGGTCTCCTTTGTGCAGACGCACATAGCTGGGGTCTGTCAGCGCAACATTTGGAAACAAGGGGAACTGGGAAGAAATGCGAAGGAGTGAGGCGCTATGGCCTGTGAGCTCCCACGAGATCGGGGCTGGGAACTCGTTTGCTGTCACCAAGGCCCAATGGTGACAATCCCTGGTGGCTGCAGCTGCTCTCCGTGTGGCGGGCACGCTGTCACGTCTCCGCGGTTCCCCACACGTGCTTCTCCCGAGCTTTGACAGAAACGATTCCTCTCTTAAGCCCTTATTCCTCTCCACGCGATTTTCCCCTTTGTTTCCCTCCACCTGCCTCACACTCGCCGCTAAGCAGGCGACGCTCCAGTTTCCATTTCCCATCCCGCCTTTGTTACTCCCTTCTCCCCACCGCTTCCTGTTCCCCGTTATCGCTCCGCTCCCTCCGCGGCGCAGCCCGCCGCTCCCCCCGCAGTCCTCCCGCCCGCCGCGGGCCGCCACCCCCACGGTCGCGCCCGCAGGCCCGGAGCGGCGGCGGCACCCCCGAGGCCGGTTGCCGTACAACATGGCGGCGCCCACGGGCCGCCCGCGGCCGCGGGGAAGAGGAAGCGTCCGCCTCTCTAAGCGTCCCGGTGCGCGCCGCGGCCGCCCCGCGAGGGGTTCCTGCAGCCGGTTCCGCGGAAACGCAGGCGACTAGCGGGCCGGCGGGGCCCAGCCGCGAGCGAGGGGTAGCGGTACGCGTCCCGGGAGGAGCCCCGAGCGACCGAACGCAGCGCATCGGGGCGCTGCGGGGGCGCCCGGGGGAGCGGCGGCCGCAGGGCTTCGCTGCCGCCGGGATGCTTCCCGTGCCCGGCGCTCGCTTCGTCCAGCTACGGACGTGGGTGTCTCGGAGCTCGGAACGCGTGTCGCTACGTCGCCTCTAACGCCCGCCTCTCCTTTCTCTTTGCAGGCCATGACGAAACCCGACCGCGCCGCTCCGAGAGCGTGAAGCGCAGGGTTGCAAAATGCCCAGGCAGGCGGCCGTGCCCGTGGCTCTGGCGGCCCTGCTGGGTATCGCCGCGGGGGGGCTGGTTCTGTGGAAGGCCGCCCAGCGCCGGAGGGGCAGAGCGCGCTGCGGGAGCCCGCCGGAGGAGGCGGCGGGGGGGCGGCCGGAGGGGAAAGAGAGCGAGGCGGGGGGCAGGGAAGCGCTGCCCCTCTTCGCATCCCCCACCCTTTCCTGGGTGGAGAGGAGCCTCGGCGCGGATATAGTGATCGTGTCGGAGCGGCAGGAGTGGGACCGGGTGGAGCCTTTGCTGAAGAAGGAGCTGGAGAAGTGGCCGGTGCTTGGAATGGACTGCGAGTGGGTGAGTGACCGGAGCGCCTCTCCTTTCGGTTGCGAGTTGCCGTAGGAAATCCTCTGGGGAGGGGCGAGTCCTTGCCCGTATGGATACAACTTGGCCAACCGCTGAAATTTATCATCTCTCGTGGCACCAGCCAGGTACCCGCCAACGGTGATTGTTCTCGCGTTTAAGTCTGCCGACGGTAGGGAGTTCATTCGCTAGTTGTATTTGTTTGCTGGGTTGTTGTGATAAATGTGGTTCTAAACGTGCGGTGATCGTTGTGTGGCTCAGAAGCGCTCTGTGTTTTGTGTCGTGTTTCTCTAAGTCTGATTTTGTAAAAGCGGTTTGGATTTACGCTATCTTCAGTCCAGCTGCGTACTGGGGAAAGCATTTCTCAGAGATAATAAACCAGAATTGGAGATGTTCTTATCTACTGATAGTAGCTGGGGCTCACTGGCTGTCCCAGGGAGCAGGGCTCTGATTCCACTTGCGTGTTTGCTTATGTGAGCTCTCAACGCACACTTGGAGTCATTTATAAAGCTCGACTTTGCTGTTGTTTCTGGCTGGAAATTTATTCACACCACATTCATTAGTATAACCGCAGTTAAACAATGTGTTTGCCATACGCGCTTACGTGGTGGGTGGCTTTGTGCTGACAGGGATTAAGGAATGTGTCTGCCAGCTCCCCCCCTATGGGGGGTAAGGGTTAGAGGAGGGAAACTTCTCTTGTAGGAGTGTGGCAAGAAGTTGCTGCGGAACAGTAATAATAAGCTGTGGGACAGATCACTTAATGTTCAGGGGAAAAAAAAGATTAGACACATGTAACAACTCTTGACTGCACATTCTGACAAGTATTTCCCGTCTTTGGTGGCCTCTTCTGTAATTTGTTCCAGCTGCAGTATTGCCAGTAATGCTGAAACTCAGCCTGTGATTTTTGTCTTTCTTTCAGGTATCTGTGGAGGGAAAAGCAAATCCCGTATCCCTCCTACAGATGGCTTCTTCCAGTGGCCTTTGCATTCTCGTTCGGTTGCCCAGGCTTGTTGCCAGTGGACAGCCTGTCCCAAAGACCCTCCTGGACATCATGGCAGATGATGCTGTGTTGAAAGTAGGAGTAGGATGCTGGGAAGACGCTTGCAAGTTACTTCAGGATTATAGTCTTCCAGTCAAAGGGAGTGTGGATCTCCGGTATTTAGCCATGAGGCAGCGGTGAGTGTCTGAAGACAAAGGCAGATGTTTTGAGGGCATCGTTTGTATTGTTTAAATATTTAAAAGATAGTTTCTATGTGCTGGATGATGCCAGGCAGGTAGGTCTGGAGTTCTTGAGGTGGTGCACTCTCTTGGAGAGCATGAGCGTTGACAGCAGCATCCCAAGAACATGTCATGACTGTTTTCTGTGGTCTGAAAGAAAAGGAAACTTTCATGAATGTTAATCATGTCAGTCTTCTCCTGTAATACCCATAAAGGCTTTTCTGAGTATCATGCTTCAGCCTGTATAAAGGCCAAGTACCGTGATATGATGCAGACATAGTGATCACCGTGTATGCAGATGTTGAGTATGCTGCCTACTGGTATGGGGTAAATATGCTAGTGGCACTTAAGTGGAACTGCTGAATGACAGGATTTGTTGAAAAGTGACTAAAACTAGTTTTAATATTCTTTTATAATGACACTGCTTCCATTTATAGGTTACAATTGTGATGTTATTCCTCATCGCTCCTAAAATAAAATGTTTTACTTTGAATGTTCTTCATGTTTGGTATATGTGTGATGTTAGTGGTGTGGGGCATGATCTTGCTCACCTGGTGGTGCCTTTGTATTGTGGAGGATGGACTTCTTGTCCCTAGAGGCCAGGATTCCTCTTGAGCCATTCCTGGCTCTTGTACTCCTCAAAAAATGTCTCCAGGCCCAGCTGTTGGCCTAGCAGCCTATGAATCCCTGGGGCAGACAGTCCATCACTCAATGCCAGATCTCTCTATTTGGTAAGCAGGTAGTTCAGAGCAGAATACTTCAGCCTTAAATGTTATCAGCTCCCAGCCTTGCCTGTTTTGCATATTGCAGACACTAGATAATTGCCAAGTCTAAGATGGACATTTTAGTGGAGGGGGAGGGCTTGTAAAGCTGACAGGCAGCTAGCTATATGCTGCTTGAGTGGGAGTCATGGATCAAGTGCACTCGGTTCTGGCAGAATCAGGCGGTATGAGGCCATCCGAATTTTCATGAGTGTTTAGTTCTGTTTTTAATATGTTTGTTTCACTTTCTTTGTTAAAACTAAAGGAAGGATCTACTTCACAACTGCCTTAGCCTTAAGTCTTTAGCTGAAAAAGTCCTGAACTGCCCGCTTGACAAGTCTCCTCATATGCGTTGCAGCAACTGGGAGGCAGAAGAACTGACACAAGATCAGGTGTGTCTTCCACTTTAACTTAGTGTTTTGGGAGAAAAAGGAACCTTTTTATGAGAGGAGAGGCATTGTAATATGGAGATTTGTGCCTTTTTTGAGTTCTGCCTCAGTAGCTTCTGTGTATCTGTGGTGTGAAGTCAGTTATGGACTCTTTGCCTGAGTTTTCCTCCTTTTCAGTGAAGGTGATTTTCTGTAATTCTCAGCGGATTCTTGACACTTGCTTTCTTTTAATTCTTGAAGATTTTTAAGGCAAGATCCCTGGAAGTATTTGTGCACCCAAATCCTCACTTTTTTCCCTCTCCCATACGTAGCAGTCAGTGCAATATCGGAGAAATGCTGAAAACCAAAGCTATGTTCACCATCTTTATGCTATTGCTCACATTCTTCAGTCATGCTGCAGATGTCTACAAAATCAGTGACCAGTAGAGGGAGTGGCAGGACAAATAATCACGTTGAATGTTAGCAGGTAGTGTGTGGGAACACCTGTGAGCATTTCAGGTCTGACTGACCCTAAAATGTGGCATATACAATGGTATGAAAGTGTCACTTAACTGCCAGAATTTTGTGTGAGCTTTGAAGGGAAATAAATCCAGTTTTGCTGGATCTAGTGTTAAAGACTGATGGTGCATGGAAGTGTTTGCCATTTGCCAGTATGTCAATGTCTATGCTTTTCTGCAGGTTCTCTATGCTGCTAGAGATGCCCAGGTCTCGGTGGCTCTGTTCCTCCATTTGCTGGGATTTGCCTGTCTCCCTGCTACATCTAAAGGTGAAAACTCTGTTTCTGTTTGGGAAAAAGTACTGAGTAAATGCCAAGGCTTGGTGGATATCCCATTTAAAGGAAGAAAAAGTGGCAGCACAGGAGAGGACAAGAGTGGAGAGGCACGTTCTCCTCAGAAAGGAAAGAATCGGAAATCTTTGGTGAATGTCCATTCCTCTGGCAGTCAGCAAATGAGAGATCCTCGGAGGCAGAAGCGAAAGCCTCTGGGTGTGGGATATTCTGCAAGGTAAATATCTAAGTAAATTTTACTGCTTGAACCACAGCTGAAAACTGATTGATACTTCCTGCTCTATTCGTTAAATACAGTGGATAATCCAAGCAAGGGAGGGAAACACAAGTCTCAGCAGTTATGAGAACCAGGTCCTATTTCTGTTTTCCCAGCTTTTCTCTATTGAAAGTTGGCAGGAGCACTCAGATTTGTATTAGGTCTCGAAAAGATTGAGAGGATATCTTTGGTTTTTACCTTTCCTTATAATATTGAGACATTCGCTCAGGAACAAAGTCTCAGAAGGAGGGAGTTGGCTACTCAGGTGACATTTCCTGCCCAACAGCTGTGCCCTGTCTCCTCCAGGGAAAAGGTGTAAAACTGGGTAGAGCAGATCTTGTGAACAGGGTCTGCCTCATGAACTGCTCCAGAGACAAAGCAGACCTGAAAGATGACATGAGGTGCCAGGCAGTGCGGGAAGGACCATCTGTAGCAGTGACAGTGTTGCATTTCTGTGTGGGCCATGGAGAAAGGAGGGGACAGTTCTACTCTGTCCTTGCAGAGGTAGCTTTTGCTGTATTTAAGATCCCCAAACAGCAGGCTGTTTTGTAGGACAAATCCTAAATTCCTATGTTCTTTTGCTATTGCAAGTTCAATTCTTTTAAATAAAACAAGTAGGAGAGGTCTCTTTGAGGTCTCTTAGTGTAGTAGGAAACACGGAGAATCACCATGTTTGGTTTTGTTTAGATGCACTCTAATAAAATGAATCACATGGATGTGATTTTCTGTGAAATTTTCTGTGACTACCTGTATTTGGGAAGAAAAAACATTCATTTCAGTATTTGTTTTCTCCTTTTCAAGTTTACTGGATTGGCTGGAGACACTGTAATGTAGTCTATAATACTGATTTAATTATCAGTCATTAACAATATTGTGTTGTACACAGTAAGTCTCTTCAGATTTTTTTTTTTTTTAAACTTGGAACCTGTGTCATAGAAAGCACAGAGATTGCACCTCATGGAAAGATTAAGATTTAAACAAAGTTGCGTTCCAAGCTAGAATGAGATCTCACTATGTTTGCTTGTTTATTTATTTGTTTTTAACCATGCTTGATTTCATGAGAGATCTGTAGACTCATTATTCTTTATAGTATCTCCAGCACACTGTTCTGTGGTTCTGTAGTAAGATTGGATGTGATTTCAAGTCATTTTCTTCTTTTGCCTTCTGTAAGCATGTTTAGTTTGAATGTACTCTCACTTATGATGTTGTTAGAGCTGAAACATTGCTGTGTAGTGGAAAGATTCCTCCCATATCATTATTGCTATTTTTTTTTTCCCCACACGTGCTCATGGACATCAGCAGAAATCCTTTAGCTAGATTGCGTACATATTTTCAGTTGATAGAGCTCCACTGAGTGAATATACAGTGGATTGAGCAAATACTGTGTGAATTCCCTGTGCTCCAAGAGTGGGGTGTTTTTTGTTTGTTTGTTTTTTTTAACATTGCTCTTGGAAGAATGAAGTAATTGCTCTTCACACTAAATTTTAACAAATTATCTTATTGAAACTTTAAAGTATTGTCTTGGGTAGCTGATGCTTGATTTGCAGGTGGCTGCAGTATGGGGCACTATAGATAAACCTGTTATGCTACCGTAGTTTCTGCAATGCTGTCCTTGTTTACAGAAAATCCCCACTGTATGACAACTGCTTCCTGCATGCGCCAGATGGGCAGCCCTTGTGCACTTGTGATCGCAAGAAAGCGCAGTGGTATCTGGACAAGGGGATTGGAGGTGAGCGTACCACTTTTCCAGCTGGTGTTTGAAATACAGCACTTTTGTACTGTATTTCATTCACAGGGCATGAATTTTTGGTACCCTTTTTATTGAAAATGCTGTTCTGAATGTCTCTTTATATACAAATTTGTCTTGAATATTCTCTTTGCCTTTATCTTTCAGATCTAATTAGCACAGACCCATTTGTTGTGAAGCTGCGGTTTGAGCCTTCAGGACGTCCTGAGTCTGAAGTTGATTATTATCTGATGGTTAAAGAAAACCTGTGTGTAGTATGTGGCAAACGGGAGTCCTATATTCGGTGAGTTGTTTAGTGGGACAAGAGAAAAACACATAAAACAGGACTGAAGTCTGCATCTAGTTTAGTATCCAGAAGTTAGTTGCCTGAAACACTGTGAAACATTGTTCACATCTTGGATGGTCCACTGCTGTTTCGATGCTCCATGATCAATTACATCTGGGTAAGTTTGGCACTGAACAGGCCAGTCTTCACTCTTCTTACTGAGGAAGGAGCTGGCTTGTGGAGAGAACATGTATGTCTTACAATTTTAATTACAGAGAGCAGCAGTATGCAAACACATGCTGTTCCCATGGTGTGGGAACAAAATAAATATACTATTTCTTCTAGTACTTGTTCCTTAAATGTTTGAAAGGCTTATGTGACCTGAAGTCTGTGAGGTCACAACAAGGTGCTTTGTGAGTCCTGACCCTTGTGTTCTTTGTTTTCCTGCACCTATAGTATTAGTTGTATTTTAGTACAACTACAGTATTGTTAGTTGTGCTTTTGTGGGCCAGAGAAGGAACTGGGGAGTAGCAGTTCCAGGCAAATTTAGTGAATCCTCTGCTTCTTCTCCAGAAAGAACATTGTTCCTCATGAGTATCGAAGGCACTTCCCAATTCAGATGAAGGACCACAACTCCCATGATGTGCTCCTACTCTGCACCTCCTGCCATGCCATCTCCAATTACTATGACAACCATCTCAAGCAGCAGCTGGCTGAGGAGTTTGGTGCTCCTATTGGCTCTGAGGAAGGAGTGCGTCTGCTGGAGGACCCTCTGCGCAGGCAGGTGCGCTCCGGGGCCCGAGCTCTGCTGAATGCAGACAGCCTGCCAGACCCTCGAAAGGCAGAACTCCTGCAAAGCATCAAGGACTTCTTTAACGTAGAAGCTGTGACCCCAGAGATGCTGCAGGAAGCAGCTGGTCTAGAAACCAGGTATAGCAAATCCAACTGTAGATATAACATTTCAGTCATTTATGTTAGCATGTGAATTCAGGGAAAGGAAGCATACACAAGGAGCCTTGGGTAAATACGAACAAAACAAAACAAATCAAAATCCAGCAGCATTTGCAGAGCTGAGGTTCATACATGCTGACATTTTCCTGCTAAGCCTTTAAATGCAAAAAAGATAAGACCCATTGCTGGTCTCCTTGGCATATGAAGCACCTTCCATAAACGTTAAGTTAAGGAATTTCTGAATTTGAGTCTAGGAGTTGTTCTGCACAGGAAAAATAAGCCTCTAAAAACACAACTTTATTGCTTGTATAAACCTGCAGAGTCAGGATTTATAGTACTCTGATAAACTTAACTGGAAATCAAGGAGAGAAAGAAGATAACTGTCCGTGCTGTATCATGAGTCTCTAAGCAGACAGATAAACCCTGGATTTCTTCCTGTGTTTTTGTTTTATATACTGCCTTTGCCCCCACCCTGGTAGTGGTATGTGGACTGTAGCCCTTGTGGTTTTTTTTCCCCCTCTTTCCATTTATTTTCCACAAGTCTCCATCTATTCTTACTCACCTCTCATCCCTTCCACTATTTTCTCCTCCTTTTGAAGGGCACGTCAGAGTGGGAGACTGCCGCTATGATTTGTCTTTGTCTCCTCTTCTCTTCTTTCTCTCAGCCTCCCCAAACATCTTTTAACTAGTGTCTGGTCTCTCACTGCATGCAGATATTTTCTCCTTGTTAAGCTCACTGTTGTTTGTAATATGCCAGTGTTACATCTCAGTACATATCCAGGCAGGGAGTCCAATGGACAGGATTGAGGCTCTGGAGCAGCATATTGTTCTTGCCTTGGAAATTTGCAGTCTGTCTCCTGAGGAGCATATAATGGGCCTTGAGAGCTTTATTTAGTATTGCTATAAAAGAATAACACTTTCTCATTTCAAAGAACATGGTTTCCCACTGTAGCTGTGTTCCAGAAAGCAGTCTGGCACTGAAGCAAAGTTTAATTCTCCCTCCTGGGTCTCCTCCTGGTTAGCTTACCATGTGGCTGTAATTAAACCAGGCAGCTGAAGGCATCTTAAGCATCTTGCTGTTCCTTTTAGATGAGTCAGATGGAGTCTGACAGTGGACTTGTGTGAAAATAAACTCTGCTTTTGTCCTGGCAGGATCTGCAATGAGAGCTACATGCCACATGGACTGAAGGTGGTACAGTGTTGTGCTAAAGGAGGCCTGCGCTCCCTTATGCAGTTGGAGAGACGCTGGCGGCAGCATTTCTTGGACAGCATGCAGCCCAAACATCTCCCAGAGCAGTGGTCAGTGGACCACAACCACACAAAGCTGATCCGAAAGTATGGGGAGGATCTTCAGGTTGAGCTGTCATGAAACTAACTTCCTGGACTTATCATAATGTCTAATGGACGTATGTAACTGAAAGTGGAAAGACTATTTTCATTTCTGTTTCTCCACTAACATCAGAGCCTGGCTTTGTGAGCAGTCAGCAGTGAGTTGACATTTTACAAAGAGTTAATCTGCTGACTTGAATTTTGTCAGGTGGTTTGGAATTTTTAATCCTAGACTGTCACTGGATAGTTCAGTGCAGGAATTATATGCTAAGGGAATTTTTCTGCTCTAATTGATTATTGGGAGTTATTTTCTATCCCTGGGATGTCTGGTGCCTCCAGACCCTCTCTTTTAAAGTAGAGCACAATATGTAAACATTTCCAGGTTTTCGAGAGATAGATGTGCACCTTGGCTGCACCACCAGCATCTCCTGATAATAAATCTATCTTTGCTTTCAGTGCAGTTGTACTCACATGAGTTCTTCCTGGAGAAGATGCCCCACTACAGAGATTCCTTGTTTGGAAGTAGCAAAGAAACCTTACTTCTTTGTTTTGTTTGTTTCAGATTCTGCAAAGTCTTTGCAGCACTGCAATAGGCCTCAGTGAGTTTCCTGTTGCCTGGAGAGAAGTGATACTGTTTGATTCTGGCAGCATGGAAGCATCTATGTCGAGTCTTTTTTTTTAAAAAAAAAAAACAGCTTCCAGCAGCACAGAGTCTGTAAAAAGTCTTTTTTCCCCAATTCCACTTGCTTACTGTGAGTAGCTCTTGGCAGGTACCGTTTCACATTAGAGTGAAACTCAACCAGGTGTCTTAAAAGGAATAAGAAATAAACTTTATTTAAAGACCAACTTTTTTTGTTTTTTTTTTTTTAAGAACTCAGATCATATATGGCAGGAAACTAGAAAATCAAGTGTTTTCTTCTTGGATTTGATTTGTGGTGATGATCAGATCATACTCTCCATGCCTGTTTCCCTGTCTCTAAAATGAGACTAACAGTACTTACCTATCTCACAAGGGTGTTGTGAGGATTGATTAATCAAGATTTTTGTAAAATTCTTTGAAAACTTAAGGCAGCGTGGTCTAATTACTATCGTTGTTATTAAAAATGTGCTACTGTCTTGACTTTCTTAAATATTTGTGATTTTTGCCTGAGGTTAGATCTTAGTAAAAAATACGACTATAAAAATAAATACCCCTTTCTTTGAAGTCAGTTTTGATGATTTTGATTGCATGAGGTGAATTGTACTTCTGAATGAGACTGTGCTCAACTTCTATAAGCCTCTGTAAAGAAGTTTCAGTATGACCCTTGCCATACTTCAAGCTATGTTGTATATTTCTTAATAACTTTTGGATAGAATCCTGGACTTGCTGTGTTTACGGTGGAAAGTCTTCACTATCAGACAAAAAGAGGAGCCATGGAGAAGTGATGTGTTTGTGCCATCCTGGAAGAGTTGCTGTAGCAGCTGTAGCAGTCTGGGTGAAAAGAGTGAAAGATTCATGATAAATAATTCTTATTGCAGAACTACAAATTAGACAGTTCTCACTATAGGGGAAATGTTATGCCTTTGGCAGGTCTTAACAAAAAGTGATCTATCCAAATGTGTACTATCTCTGTGCTCATTCACATAGCTGATGGTAATCTCAGTGAGACCCTCCTCACTGAGCAGCAGCAGCCTGGGTATAACTTTATTTCTTCAAAACATTTTGAGCGTACGTTCAGATAGTTACTTCCTATCTCTGCTGACTTTAGGCAAGGAGAGCTCATTGTGTGGCTCAGAAAACCCCTTTCAACAGTCTGGAATACCAAATATCCATCTCACATCTTTGCTGTTTCATTTTCTCCCTTTGTTCTGATGGGTGAACTGCTGATAAAGCTCTCCTTCCTTATAGGAACCCAAGGGCTGACCACAGGGCTGCTGTCATTTCTGTTTACCGAGGGGAAAAAAAACAAACAAAACATTTTGAGACAAGAATTGGACTAAAGGTTCCTGAACTTTGACTAACCCTGTATCTCAAAAGACCTTTTTCTTTTCAAATCACTTCAGAAATAGGAGTTTGCAAGGAAAGCTTTCCCACAAAATATAAGTTAAGATTCCTCATTGCTGTTTGTAAGATATTCTTAACTTGTGTGATTTTAATTCAACCTGAAAGAAGAGAGAAATGGTAGATTTACTGTATAGAAATATATTATTTTTATAGATGATTGTGATTTAACATTTTCTGCCTTTTAATGGAATGTTCGCTTTTTACTATTCAGTAGATTTTGCATATGGTTACCAGGGGCACTTGCTGGGCTTTGTTGGTTTACAGACTAACAGGGAGAAACATCTGTTTCCTCCATGTAGAGTTGATTGGACTATAGAATGTACAATGATCAGAGGAAGACAAAGGCAGTCTACGGATTAAATTTCTGTATGCATCTTCATTGCTAATTGTTACATTCAGTATAAATCTGCTCTTTTACCAGACTTACCACTAGTCAAGCTCTTTTTTTTCCTTTTTCGCTTGCTTTTTCTCTTATTCCAGTGTGTCCTACTCCATCTTTGTCATTCCTTACAGTAACACCTGAATCTATCATCTGAAATCTGCCTGAGGTATGCTGCCAGAAATGGAGGGATGTTTCCTTTTAACCTCCCACTTGCTACCTACAGGTTAGTGGGAAGGATCCTCCAGCTGCTGCAGTCCTCACACCTACTTGGTTTATGTGTTCTCCACAGGTGTTGCCTCCATCCTTTTCCTTTCAGGCGCTCTGTCCTTGTGAGATGGACGTGCTTGGGGCACATGTCAGATTCCTTCTGGTTTGTGTGAGACCTGAGGAAGGCTCGAAAGAAAGTCAGGTTTTATTCTGGCAAAGCAAAGAGTTAAAGTGTTATTTCAAACTTGGGAACACGTTTGCCTCAGGAAAACGTAACGTAGATGGGATCTTGTGGCTGTTCTTCTGTGTGGAGTCAGGTTGTTGTGCTCTGATCCTGGTCGCCCTCTCCAGTTCAGCAGCATTTGAAGCTGTGCAGGTTCTGCTGCCATATGAGATCTGCTGCTGTTGTAAAATTGGCTGTCAAAAGTGGCCAAGCTGGGATGCCAGAACTATGTCAAAGAATCTTCTAGAAGCCCTTACTCCAAGACTTCTTGGAGCAGTTTTAGATGCAAACCCTCTAGACTTGAGGCTAGGCTGTGCCTTGCCAAGCTGACCAGAGGGTTGTGCTGTGGGGATGGGGTGTGACAAGGAAGAGGGCCAACAGGCTACAGCCTTCTTCCTCTTGTTCTTACAATTCAGTGGGCTTACCCCAGAATTTTTGCCAGGTATAACAACAAAATAACTAAAATGTTTGTAACGCTGCTGGGAAACTGTGAGGTCTGCCTTGCTGCTCTGGCACTCACGGCTTACTCAGCACTTTTTTGAGCATGTCACTGGGTTCTGTTTCCAGAGATGCTCCTCTGGAGCTGCAGGAACAAGAGCACCTTTGGTGTGTTGGTTTGCTTTCCTGTATGGGATGCAAACTGATTCCTGTCTTCCCAAACACTACAGTTTGCCTTTTCTTGGCTGTGCAGTGACTTTGGCATAATTCCACAGGGCAAGAAGTGCCAGGCAAGCAGACTTTTTCACAGCCTGGAGCTGGAGCTGCAGTAAGTGTTGCACTGGCAAGACCACACATGACATGTTAATTATGCTGCTGACAGGCTTGGCATTTGGAGGGCCTCGATTTCCTGTGACAGCTTTTAAAGGTCTCAGCTGTCACTGTCCATGACTGACAGGGCTAAGGCAGCATATCCCTGTGGGCTCCTTTTGTTTGCTCCGTTCATTACTCATTAATGCTGGGGATGGAAGCTGTCTTCCTGTTGTATTTCTATTACTCTGGCTCCCTGGAGAAGGTCTGAACTCTGCACTCTCTATTACAGGTTTTATTTCATTTTACAGATTTTACTGGGTTTTTCTTGTTTTTTTTTTCCTCTCCTGTAAAGGCAATATGGTAATCCTTGAGAAGGTACCTCGATGCTCTGGTCCTTGGCCTAAATGTCTCTGGGGACTGGGACTTTGCACAAGCAGAGGACAAAGAGCCACCACTGACCTCAGCAGCATGCAGTGTACTGATGGAGTGGCACCTCTGGTCAGGTTCCACTGCTGCTCCTGGATCTTCTCCTTCCTTCAGGCCTCCGGGAGGACTGCTTTCCAAGCAGGAAAAAACAGCAGTCCTAAAAGGCGGCTTCACAGATGAGCAGGTTGGTGCATCTTTACATGGGGCAATGCTTTAGAAGCTCACACCTGTCCCTAATGGCCTTTCTCATTCCCATGGTCTCCTCCAGTTCCCGATATCTTTTGGTTCTTGGGGAATAAGGGCCATTTAAAGCACTTTCTCACATTTGTGTTACCTTATGTAAGTGATATAAGGGCTTTTCCCCATCCTTGCATACATCCCTCTTCCTCTGGGAGTTTTCCAGAGAGACACAGGTTGCCCTCTTGTATTAGCCCAGCAGCAAGACAGTTGTGTTATATGCTCTTATGAGTAGAGTGGGTAACATAAGAGAGCCAGTATGGTTAATTTTAGTGAGGGGGAAGCCAGAAAGGCGTGGATGAAACATAATCCCCTGCATTCAAAGCAGGCTGCTCTTCCACTGTAAATGACACTGTAAGCTGCAGATGACTGTGGGAAGGAAGTTCTGCACCAGGTTGTTGCTGCACTTTCACTGCCCACTTAGCTGTTCCTGTGCTGTTTATCTTAACTTCACCAGTGTGATGCTACCTTGGTAGAGCTGGTCGCCAGGAGACAGAGCCAAACCATCTTTCTGTTGTTACTGGTCCTTGCAAGCCAGAGGATGAGTTCCGTTGCCAAATGGGGGAAGAAAAGAAGACTGGGGAAAAAAAAATATAATGATGTCATCTTCTAATAATAAGAAACCATTTCCTGGTACAAGAGAACTCCAGCTTCAGCTATAAATGATATAAAATATGGCTTCTATCTTTCTTCACTTAAAAATGGAAAATTTGTGTGCTGATTAGGGAGCAAAACAGAGAAGAGTTTTATGCATCTCAGCACTAGTGGGGCAAGTATGAGGGAAAGGCTGAGGGAAGAGCTGCATGTCCAGGTCCCCTCCCCTGAAAGCATTTCTCTAAGGAGCTGTTTGCATTGTGGTGTGCTCTGTGGGGATCTGATGTGTGTCGGTGACTAGCAGCACGTTCTTTCTGATGGATCACCCTTTGGGAAATGCTGAACAGTGCTTTGCATCGGTAGACATCTGTCAGTTTCTCTCCCCTTTCCCTCTGTTCTGCGGTTCCATCCAGGATGTTCAGCTGTAAATAAAAGCAGGGGGACTCTGCTGATGGCAGGCTGAGAAAATGAGAGTGGGACCTCCTTTAAATGCATTGTGAATAAAAGCTCATTATCCTAACTTGTCTAGCAAGGGCTATGGGGAGACCAAATCTGAGCTCTGTTTGCATGTGTGGCTTTATGTTGTATTTGTGCTATTTGGATAATGTTTTCCATATGTTTTACAGCATTACACTCTCTTTTTTCCCCTCTGGCTCCCCTGTGATAAATGGCAGCAATACTGGATGTCATTCAGCTGCATATCTCAAGTCGTTCTGCTGATATCTTAAAAGACTGCCTCAATTTTACAGATATTTTCCCTTAGGAAAAACATCTCTTCCTTGCAAGGAAGAAAGTCAGCCCAAGCAATGCGATTAGAACTTGAGCAAACCTTACAGAGCCCTGGAAAATATCAGGCTAGGCTGCACGACTCCTGACAAATTGGTTATGGAGAGGAAAAGTGCCATAAATCAAACAGGCCCGGTTCGTGGCACTGTGTGCGTCAGCCAAGGTGACGACCACTAGATGGTGCTGAGCATTAAACCGTCGCAGTCACTCGAGCAGTTTTGCTCTCTGCATCGTGAATGGGCTCTAGCTCCATTATCTCCTTGAGTTCCCGTTCTGCTCTGCTTCTTTCGAGGTTTCCATCTTGCAGGAAGTTCCTGTAAGGTGCCCTTGCCCCCAGCAGTGTACGAATGCTGCAGCAGCTTTGGACAGAGAAGCCAGGAGGTGCAGTGAGTACTGGTAGAGAGGTGGGAGAGCTGATGCCTCCTACTGTGCTTTAAAAACAACAGTGAAAGTAGATAATGTTCATTTCACTCACTGGAAATAGTCACCTTCAGTCCTTCTGGTGCTCGTTGCTTCTTGGCACAGGTCACACTGCTTCCTCCCAGGCAGTGAGCTGAGCGGCTCCCCAGTTGCAAACCATCTGCACTGCTATACTTGGTGGTGACAAAGCTGAGAATCTGTCCTACAGATGGGCACCTTGCTCCCACCCTCGCTCTGTGCCCTTCAGTCACCCGCTGCCACATCAGCCACGCAGCTCTCCTCTGGGAGCTGCTCTAATTAATGGGAATTTTTTTTTTGCTCTTAAGAAGTGTCTGTGTGTGTATCCTACACCAGAGGGAGGTTTAATGTTGCTGTTGTGCAGCTGCTGTTGCTGCTGCTGCAGATGTGACCTTGGCATGCACTCTTCCCCTTCACTCCTCGCCCTGTGTTTTAACACCAAGCTTTGCTCCTCCAGACAGATGCTGCCAAAAAAAAAAAAAAAAAAAAAAAAAAGATCTCTGAGCCAAATGAGTTCTTTGAAAAATGTAGCTTAATGCCTTTCCAAAAATCCCACTCCCTTGAGAAGAAACTGGATCTTCAGCCATGATGAATTTTCTGATGCTAAATAAATGCTCATTTTTTTAAACCTCAGAACTTTATTTGGGGGGAGAATATGTGCTAAGTATCTTCAACAGCCTTATTCTCCTATACCTCTTGTTGGTATACGGATGTATGTGTATTTTTTTTAACTGGAAAATGAAACATAACTGTTGAGCAAGGAATTGTGCCAGAATAAAGACGGGAATTAGATGTCAGTAAAGCCAGGATGATATTTCCACTTCTGTCCCTCCAGCACTGTGCTTTTACCTTGAAGAAAGAGGAAGTGAGAAGCCTGGTGAACACAATGAAAGAGGATTTCCAAAGCAGCATGGTGCTGTGTGCAAGGCACACAGGAATGATGCCCCAAACCACCCATGAGGGTGAGGATAGGGCTGTAGGAGTGCTGTGCTGGGTGGAAGACTGGATCTCGTTGGTTCAGAGTAATTTCTCTGACCATTGCAGTCAGTGGTGAGAGCTCAGTTCTCTCTAGACAGTTTGTGTTTCACACTTTGTTTTCAGGGATGGCAGAAAATTGAGTGCTATTGTTTGTTTGAGAGGAGCTGGGGAGAGGTGTGCTTTTTTAGCAAGTCTCCTATCACTGAGAAACGTGGCCAAATTCCTGGCAGATCTGAGACGAATGGTTTTGGCAAAGGGATGTGAATGCATCTTCAGAGTTACAGGAGCAACCCATGTTGATATTTAATGAAGAATCCTGCTATTCTGCTCCAGTGTGCTTCTCTGTCCTTCTTCCTATGCTTGCTGGTGAACTGTGGTGATAATGACACCCAAAGGCATTGGGAAATGGTGTCAGAGAGCTGTGATCTCAATTCCCAGTTACAGTGTGTAGTAGAGGGATAGGAGCTCCCTCTCCGTGTTTGTG